TCAACCTCAGCAAATCTTAGTAGCTTCTCTCTAAGTTCAGGAATTTCAGTATTCTCCTTCCTAAGTTTGGCAATCTCACTCAAGAGCTTGGCATTTAATTCCCTTAATGAATCGTTGGATTGCATGTTCGATGATAATTTTTTATATGAGATTGAATAATTCAAAAGTTCGTTAGCATAGATAAAAAACGAGGTAATATCCTCATCGGAATTATTGATTTATTCGATGTAAAAGAATAAATTACAAGATTCGGTAATACATAAACTTGTTTTATAAAGTGAAATAAAGTTTCTATGCTAATGCCTGCGGGTGTTCGCTCATCTGAGGCTCTAAGCTATCTATATGCTAACACAATATTCCAACATTAATTCTAATCCGATTTCATTTGTCCCCAACATCGGTATTTTGGATAGAATAAAAGGTTGTCAGTTATGCATAAAACATGCAGAGTCAGAAATAAATTAACAATATTGACCTTAGTAAACCCGCCGATAATTTATGTTTTTTGCTTTCCGTAATGTTAATTACCGTAGTTAATATGTTCCTTGAGATCCTAAATGAGCAAATGCACAATCAGTCAGCACAACCAAAAAAAATGTTCGTATCTTTTAAAATTGCATGATGTCTCGTCGGGAATATTCGTACTTCATATTGCGGTATGACATGGATAGACGTTCTCAAAAAAAAATTAGAATTGGATATAGCGGGAAGGAATTACCTAGGGCTCGAGATGTTTCTCACTTGAAATAACCACTATACCATTAAAAATAAAGGTTCTCTTCTGGTTTTTAATTATGTATTTTTGTCTCAATATCTTTGTATAAAAAAATATTACCTAAGTCACACTAGTCATACAGATTAGAGCACAGCTTATTTTATTATTAGTTTTGTGTCCGGCCCCAAAAAGAAGAGCAAATCATGCATAGACTCAGCAGGTAATTCCGCCATCAACCTCATTTACAAGTATTTGTGTGGCAGGTCATTCCGCTACGCTTGTGAGGGCTAGGTCTTTGTTAAGAACAGGTCATTCCGTTCCTGATTTAACAACTTCCATGGCGTGGACGGTAACTCAGACAAAATCGTTCAGGTAATTCCGCCATCAACCTCATTTACAAGTATTTATGAAGCAGGTCATTCCGCTACACTTGTGAGGGCTAGGCCAGTGTTAAGAGCAGGTCATTCCGCTCCCGATTTTAGCTGAGCACCAGGTACGAAAAAGTGTTGTAAAAATCTATGCCACGTGATATTTAATGAGATCGCGTTTCAAGCAAAAATCACGTGAACGGTCGTACAATATCAAGAACGCGTATGAAGTTCGATCAAATCACAATTTAGCACTGGTATTTTTAAAATTAACCAAAGAATTTACCCTTTACTATAAACAGAGAATGCCACAACCTTCATATACTCCGGAGTTGGCAAATTGGTGCCTTCCTTTCAATGAAAATCTTCCTAAAGAAATCGCAACTCACTTTGTTGATCTTCCAGTAAAACGGTACGATGAGATACCTGAATTTTTGTGCTCCGTACCGGATCTTCTTAATAAACCAAACGACGCATTCACGGCTTATACCACAAGTCTTAAATTAATATCAGAACAAGCAATCACACCAATCGGAGTTTATAATTACTGCCAAGATTTGAGCAAGTTTGTAAAGGGCCCCAACCGAAAAAATACTTTTCTCGAAAGTGTTGAAAAAACTCGAAGATATCTCCAGAAAGAAGGGTTTGCTGGAAGAGTAGAAGGTGATGTGTTGGAAGTTTTTGAGGGAGTACGTGAAAATGTTGCGTCGGAACTGAGAGAGATAGTTCAAAAACCTATTACGCCTTTTCTACCGAAAAAACGTGCGCGTGATACGCAAGAAAGAGAACTTGATGTCACGATGAATATTTGATGAATTCAGTGACCGATGCTTCCGATATTTTCGGAAAAGTAACTTTTCCGTCATACTATAACAAACTTAAAACTATCTGGAAAAATCAAGATTCTGAGTCAAATTTTTACGTACTCGATTTAGGGGATGAAGACACATGGAAACAGATATATAGTGTTTTGGATGAGGGTGAATTGGATTCGTTGTATGAAAGGTTAACATTGGAAGATGAAGAAAAATTCATAAGTGAAAAGACGCAAGAGTATTTAACGTTTTTTGATGATATTGTACCCGCTCAATCGAAGGGAGACGAAGCAGTTGATAGTTATCTTGTGGATGATGATGATTACGAGACTGTAGAAAAAAATAGTGAAGTGGAGAAAATAGTACATCAATTGGGCAGTGTATCCGAAAAATATCACTATTTATCCAACTTCTTTCCTATGCCGGCGGACTATGATCAACCCAAAATGCCTGATTTATTTATTGTCAAGAATATCTCCAACCATTTTGACATCATCACAAAAATGAATGGTGCCATGAATAAAACTCCTGAGCGGACATGGACGGTCCATGTATTAGCATACATTTTTTTTATCACTTTTTGTTTTATTGACTCGTCGCAGTATTTTTCATGTGAAAGAGACATATCTACAAAGATTGATATTCAAGATCATAGTTATAAAGCCGATGGTGTATTAGAGCTTTTCGAGCGACCCAAACAAATTCCATTGTTTTTGCTTGAAGTGTCGGAAGGGCCTAATAACCCGGATCCAGACAAGATTAATGAAGATAGGCGTAAATTATTGAATGAGGGAGTCTTTGGCCTTAATAAACTTATGTTGAGTACCGAGTTACCAAAAAGGAAAGTGTGCGAAACACTGGGGATTTTCTTAGCCCAAGCATTTGGTAATTTTTTTTCAATAATTTTGAACCTGCAGGTGTTTTTGATCTTGTTTTTGTTTATAGCTGATAAAATTGAGATTGGCCAGTTAATATTTATTGGACCTGGTTTATACCTTTTTGCGCCATTTACAATCCCAGTTCTTACTATTCCAACTTCTGATATCGATCTAAATCATGTACCTAGACTCATTAGAACACTTTTATGTTTACGATACAATATTGTTGAAAAGATCGAAAGGTTTATAGAGTTTAGAAAGGAAGGACAAGAAAACATAACAAAGTCCAAACCCAAGTATGCAACCGGATTCACACCAGAACGGCGAAGAGCTGTGACATTCGCAGAATTTCTGCCAAAAATATCGAGAGAAGGAAAGAAAGTGAATGGTAGGGGGAGAGGTCGCGGTAGGGGCCGTGGTAGGGGAATACAGGATTCTGCATGAGTTTATGTTTCTATTTTCTTATATTAAAATATTGCATTTATCCTGTTATGTCATAATATAAATATGGATTCGAATTTGGTCGTATAAACCTCTTTCAAGCAATATTTCATATACTTGTCAGTATAATATTCGAAAAAATGTTTTGCAATAGGAAATTCATGCACCAAAGCTTAATTAATATGATTCTTAATTTCCGAAGTTAACAAATTTCGACACAAATATTTCATTTCCTATATCTGTTGTTGAAAGCTTTATTAGCGAGGAGATTAACCAATTTCCGCTCAAATATCCCGAGATAATAATACTTTAGATCTATTGCAAAAAATCAGCAGAAATATAAAAATAAATACTTCTTACTTTTATATTTTGTTTTTTTTTTATAATATTCCTCTCAGCCTCGAAACTTGCTCGTGGCATGATCAAAAATCAAGTGATATATGCCATCACGATTTTCTCAGAGGTATAAAGATCACGTGCACATTACAAATTGTAACGCCGATCACTTTTGCCAAGAAAAATTTTATTAATACGAAAAATAAATACAAATGTTCCGGGACCTAGCCCGTGATACATGACGTCTATACTATTGTCTGCGGACTAATGTCTGCATGAAAAATTCACGATCATATGCAAGTTAATATACATCAATAACAATACAATACAATAAATTCACAAAATACACATGCAACAGTAAACACGATTATGTATGCGAAATCAGCCACCAGGGCCAGCTTTATTGATACGATAAGAAAAGTAAAAAAAAATATATACAATGGATTAAACAAATTCATGGAGAAGGTATAAGGTTCGTTATGCAACCTATCAAGAACCGCATTGATCAAATATTTGGGCAATCGGTCTACATCTGTCACAATGATGGGATACGTAGGTAGTTGTTCCAATGGTTCCAATAGTTCTGATGGTTCCGGTGGTTCTGCTATCTCTAGTACCGCATCTATTGTGCCAAGAGTAAAACTATCCATAGAGGGACCCACTATTATACCAATAGTCCCTTTTGGTTGCTTAGTTCGAGTGAGCACACCAAGCAACTCATCTACAACCAGGCGACCCGTGAATATATTTAATATTATTAATTGAATTTTAACCCAAACATCTGATTTAATATAATAATAATACCTATATTGAGTCTGACCCAATTTTTACATTGGATAATAAATCGTGTCGTGGCAATTTCACATATAATATTGATGCCACCATTGCCCGATCTCCTAAATTAAAATAAAATATGAATACTTGCATCATAATTATCAACTAACCAAAGAAGTTGCACAGGCGGAATAGTCAACGACAGTGCTTTCTATATTAGAGTGCATCCTATTTATCATGAATTCCCAGTGTCTAAGCATCTCAAGAACATCGGAAACTAGAAAGAAAGAATGTTCACTGCTAAAACAGTGGCCACGATGTGCTTTCAATTTCTTACTAGATATTTACACCAATGTGACAGCGTAACTTTGAATACACAACAACTCAACAAATAACTCAATGAGAAACTCACCCTTTATGGATAACTTTAGCACCAATGCTCTTTAGCATTTCAACAAGATCCGCTTCAAATATTAATCCTTTTATATAGGGTGATTCTACGATTACTACAGCAAGAGCGATAGAATCCCCCTCAATACAAAGAAATTCTTCAACTTCAAAATTCATCTTTATTTTTTTTTTAAAAAAAAATTAATCGAAAGTAATTAAAAAATAAAACAGAATCACTAATAAGCGATAAATAACAATGTTTTCACTATACTGCCCTTTATAAATGGGTTTCGCCTGTCTCTGAATGGTAGTGTAAAGAGAAGGGCAACAAAGAAAAAAATCTCATATGCACTTTACGCCAATCTTTACACTCGACATTACATTATGTTTGTCATAGGGTACCCCTAGACATGCGGAATGTGCATTGGAGATCTCGACATCTTCGGCATTATGATGTAGAGAAAGATCACTATGTATTTTATTTTGTTTGAGCACCTAGTAGAGCCTTTAGTTTTTATTAAAGAAACTATAAAACTGGAAATATATATGTCTTTGTTAAAATAAATAAATTTTTGTATTAGCTTTGAAGTAGATCTAAAGCTTGGGTATTATTTTTTCTATGAACATTTGTAAATAAAATTCAAAAAAATTCGTATAAAGATTTGGTTAACAGATAACGTATGTGTCATGAGATTGTTGACCGAATTTGGGTTGGGTTTGATAATATTTTGTACTTTTACTCGTTCTACATGAGTTATACATAATGATAAGTGTAGATAAGGTTATTTGCAAATATAATGTTAATATATATAATATGTATGCTCAAGATTGAAAATTGGCAGTAGATCGAGTGATCCTGGTGAAATATATACGTATTAAGTTACTAAACACATGATACCGCTCTCTCATAGCTCAATATCAGGTGAAATATATGTTAAGTTACTAAACACATGATACCGCTCTTTCATAGCTCAATATCAGGTGAAATATATGTTAAGTTACTAAACACATGATACTGCTGATGAAATATATGCTACGTTCAGAGCCTCTAGAAAATTTCGGTATCATTTTAGAAAAATTGTTTTGGTAATGACCAAATATTGTTTTTTATTGCGATATCAAATTTAGTATCATTTTTGCTAATCAAAACATATCCCTTAATATGTAGACCAACGCAGGCAAATTTGCCTGCGTTTTTGCACTTTTTTAGCTCTGATTTACTTTTTT